CTTGTGGTGCTGAAAGAAGCTGTCACTCACAGAAGATTGTGCAGAGCTGCACATTGTGATTATCCCTCTCATTTCTTACATGCTTTAAGACAGGGATCTCAAACTCGAATCACCACGAGGGCCACATGAGGACTAGTATATTGGCCCGAGGGCTACATCACTCTCAGCAAATTTGCGGATGATACTAAACTAGGAGGAGTGGTAGATACGCTGGAGGGCAGGGATAGGATACAGAGGGACCTAGACAAATTGGAGGATTGGGCCAAAAGAAATCTGATGAGGTTCAATAAGGATAAGTGCAGGGTCCTGCACTTAGGACGGAAGAACCCAATGTACCGCTACAGACTAGGGACCAAATGGCTAGGCAGCAGTTCTGCGGAAAAGGACCTAGGGGTGACAGTGGACGAGAAGCTGGATATGAGTCAGCAGTGTGCCCTTGTTGCCAAGAAGGCCAATGGCATTTTGGGATGTATAAGTAGGGGCATAGCGAGCAGATCGAGGGACGTGATCGTCCCCCTCTATTGGACATTGGTGAGGCCTCATCTGGAGTACTGTGTCCAGTTTTGGGCCCCACACTACAAGAAGGATGTGGATAAATTGGAGAGAGTCCAGCGAAGGGCAACAAAAATGATTAGGGGTCTGGAACACATGACTTATGAGGAGAGGCTGAGGGAACTGGGATTGTTTAGTCTGCAGAAGAGAAGAATGAGGGGGGATTTGATAGCTGCTTTCAACTACCTGAGAGGTGGTTCCAGAGAGTATGGTTCTAGACTATTCTCAGTGGTAGAAGAGGACAGGACAAGGAGTAATGGTCTCAAGTTGCAGTGGGGGAGGTTTAGGTTGGATATTAGGAAAAACTTTTTCACTAGGAGGGTGGTGAAACACTGGAATGCGTTACTGAGGGAGGTGGTAGAATCTCCTTCCTTAGAAGTTTTTAAGGTCAGGCTTGACAAAGCCCTGGCTGGGATGATTTAGTTGGGGATTGGTCCTGCTTTGAGCAGGGGGTTGGACTAGATGACCTCCTGAGGTCCCTTCCAACCCTGATATTCTATGATTCGATGATCATTGACACTCACCCCCGGACCCGCCCCCACTCCACCCCTTCCATGAGGCCCCGCCTCTTCCCACCCTTCTCCACCCCCATTCCAACTCCTTCCCCGAAGTCCCCACCCCAACTCTGCGCCCTCCCTGGCCCTATTCCAACCCCTTCCCCAAATCCCTGCCTCCTCCCCTGAGACGCGGCTCTCCACTCCTCCCCCCTGGAAAGTGCTAAGTTCTGCCAAACAGCTGTTTGGTGTCGGGAAGTGCCTGGAGGTAGGCAGAAGAGCTGGGACATGGCGCACCGGGGGGAGGGGGATCGGGAGGAGGGGAGCTTGGTGGCCTGCAGGAAATAATTCTGGGGGGCGGGCACGGGGAGCTTGGCGGCTCGCAGGAAATAACTCCGGGGGTGTGGGGAGCTTGGCGGCCCACAGGAAATAACCCAGTGGGCTGCGTGTTTGAGACCCCTGCTTTAAGCAGTGAAATAGTTTATACTCTAATGGCAACATTTGTTATCAAGGGGTATCTTAGATAGTCGCCATCAAGATGAGTGAGGCACTGTTCTGGCTTATATGGCCAGGGCCTGGGCAGCGCACGGTCCTCTGCTGACCCTGCATGTAATGGCTAAGTTCTCCTATCACTTCAAACCTCGTCAGTTATTATTCTGAACAGTCCCTCTGCATTGTGGTCCAGTTTCCAGCACTATGGGATCCTGCAGACTTCTGTAAGCTAATGTCACAATGGGCAATGGCCAGCTGGAGCCACCAGCATTGTTCACCTGGGCAGAAAGGATAGGATTAACAGGCCCTTTATGGGTCTTAATGCTGTTCCTGAGTCTGAAATGTTTCTAGATTATCTAGATGTTTTGCTGTAGCAAATAGCAGCTAAATAAGTTTCTGCTATCTTCACTCAATTTGAAACTGAAAATAATAAACTTTAGATTGAATAAGCTGTTTTAAACTAAAACTTATATTGAGAAAAACATACCAGGGCTATCAGTCCATTCAGGTGAATAATGGTCCATAGATGTGGTTGGTTGGTATCTTCATGTTGACTAATACATGCTGGCTAGCATGTATATGGTATTATCTGCACCATATACGCTAGTATGCATTAAGCAGAAATATTTTATAGCAGTTATGTAGTCTAAATAAGTCTATACCTTTACTGTAATTCAGTTATGTTAAGTATCCCATAATACCTTGCATAAGTTGAAGTAAGCTTGGGTTAAATAGATACAAAAGCTGTCTGGATCAGGACCTATGATTATTTTACCATAGCAACAGGTAGGGATTTTCACAGGTCAATACTGGAGCGTCCCAGAGGAACAGGATGGATATGATTGTTCTACTGTAGTACAAATCTAGGAGGTGCCTTCACACTTGTGTTCAGAACAAAGAGATGAGGGGTACACCATGGTACCAGAAAGATAAGGTAGAAAGCTGAATAGTTAAATCTAGTTTCAGATGACATATAACGTACCTTTTATTTGTAAACAGGTAGGGTATAAAAAGATGGCTTGAAGGGTGTAACTTTGGGAGCATACCTGCTGTGTAAAGTGAATGTAACAACGCTGCATAAGGTGCCTTAATGAAGATTGGTATCATATTGAACCTTTCTCCTGTACTATATTCTTATTGGCTTATAGTAATAAATCTGACATTGGTTGTTGGTCTCTTTAACATATTTTGTATCTTAACCAAAGTGTGGTCAAGCATTTCACTATAACATTTATCAACACTTCATGTTGTTAAGATAATAATAATAAAAAAATCCCTAATTGGGCTTTCTCAGGGGAAGAAGGAAGCCCAATGAGCTGGTGCCACTGTAGAACAGTCAGCATCCACCTGTTTCTGCACTAACAGTCCTTACAAAATGGCTCCTTAAACCATCAGCAACACTTGTTCTTCAAATGCAGAAGAGGAAAAAAATCAAGGTTCTCAACTCTTGATGGATGGGGAGGGGGATGGAACACTGATGGTTTGAAGAAGCAGGTCACCACTCGGAAGAGGAGGAGGCAGAAAGATGAATGCAGGGAGCAGGAGAGAAGGCGAATCTAGGCCCCAAGAGCACACGTGATACAATGACTAACATCAGCATCATAGAACTCAAGAGGCCATCTAGTCTAGTCCCCTGTGCTCATGGCAAGACTAAGTATTATCTAGACCATTCCTGACAGGTGGTTGTCTAACCTGCTCTTAAAAGTCTCCAATGATGGAGATTCCACAACCTCCCTAGGCAATTTAGTCCAGTGCTTAACCACCCTGCCAGGAAGCTTTTCCTAATGTCCAACCTAAACCTCCCTTGCTGCAATTTTAGCCCATTGCTTCTTGTCCTATCCGCAGAGTTTAAGAAAAACAAATTTTCTTTCTCCTCCTTATAACAATCTTTTACACACTTGAAAACTGTTCATCATGTCCCTTCTCAGTCTTCTGTTTTCCAGACTAAACAAACCCAATTTTTTCAATCTTCCCTCATAGGTCATGTTTTCCAGACCTTTAATCATTTTGGTTGCTCTTCTCTGAACTCTCTCCAATTTGTCCACATCTTTTCTGAAATGTGGCACCCAGAACTGAACATGATACTCCAATTGAGGCCAAATCAGAGCGGAGTAGAGGGGAAGACTTACTTGTGTCTTGCTTACAACTCTCCTGCTAATACATCCCAGAATGATCACTTTTTTTGCAACAGCATTACACTGTTGACTCTTATTTAGCTTGTGATCCACTATGACCCCCAGATCCCTTTCTGCAGTACTCCTTCCTAGGCAGTCATTTCCCATTTTGTATGTATGCAGTTGATTGTTCCTTCCTAAATGGAGTACTTTGCATTTGTCCTTGCTGAATTTCATCCTATTTACTTCAGACCATTTCTCCTTTGGTCCTAAGCCACATGCAGCCTCTGAAGTATTCCACACTCATGGGTGCCACACCATCTAGAATGGCAGCAAGTCCTGCTTCTTTTGGCCCTGTACCCATTGCAGAATGGGTTCCTACAGTACTCTTGTGCTCAGGGCCGTCCATAGCTGTTCTGGAGCCCTACACAGCCCTCCAGGCCTCTGTGGGGGAGGGGGGAAGCTGGGCCACAGCCCTCTGCAGGGGCTGGCTTGGGGGCTAGGGGGAACCGCCCCCCAGCACTCACCAGCAGTGTGGCTGGGGCCCAGTTGCTGCACTCTCGCTGCTGGTGAGTGCAGCGGCCTGGCTGTGCTGCACTCCTCAGGGAAGTGGGGGCGGGCAGGGAAGAGCCAGACCAGGGGCTGGAGCAGCATGCAGCTGGTGCCCCATGCAGCTACCTGCTTTGCGCATGGGTAAGGACGGCCCTGCTTGTGCTAAGGTACGGCCAGTCTCCCATCGCTGCAGTTGCAATCTGTCTCCCAGGGACACGTTCAGCCCCATGGTGGGGTGGCACTGGAACCACATTTAACACCATTTTTACGAGGAACGGCCCGACATCAGAGCGGGTGCGGAAACGCCGGGCCTAGCCCTGCTGTCTGGGGCGGAGAGGTTCTGGCTGCACCAGCCAGTGCTCTGTAAGAGTCCGGCAACAGGAGCCGGGCGAGACACCGCGCAGGGGCCGGGCCGGGCGGGCAGCGCGCTTCTCCAGGCCGCCGCTGCGCCAAAGCCGGTCTGACCCCGCAGCGCTGACTTCGCGGGCGAGGGGCGGGATTTCTCCCCTTTCCCTCATGCGCAAACGAGGCTTCCCGCCACACTCGCCCTCCGGCGGCGCGCAGCGGGGCCGCGACTCCTCGGATTCGGAGCAGCAGCGCAGCCAGCCCGGGGACCCCCCGAGCCGCCCGGACACAGGAGAAAACGGAGTGTGCCCATGGTTGCGCCGTGCGCGTTGCCAGGACAACCGCCCGTAACAAGCCTGATTGGACCAAAAAAGTAAAACCCGCCCCAACACAGAGGGGAGTAGGATGGGCGTCCGTGCGTCACGACGCTGGGCAAGGATGGGCGTCCGTGCGTCACGATGCAGGGCGAGGGGCACCGTCCACTCCAAAGAGGCGGCCCTCGCGTGGCCCTGCCCCCCGTTGCAACAAGGGACAACAAGCCCGACGCCGCTGATCTCTGGCTAGCGGTCGCTCACGTCACTGCCCGACGTCATCGCTCGCGCGGCTGTGCGTAAAGAAGGCGCGACCGAAGGACGCCGTAGTCCCGCCCCTAGCCTCTCTCGCGGGAACCCCACCCCCGCGTCCATCGCCGCGCCGAGTCTGTCCTCCTCAGCCGGTCACCGGTCCGTTTCCGGCGCGCGCCGCCGTGACGTGAAGTCCCGTGTCCGGCCCGGCCCGGGCCCCGCTCCGCCATGCGATGTCCGCGCTGAACTGGAAACCCTTCGTCTACGGCGGGCTGGCCTCGCTGGTGGCCGAGTTCGGTGAGGCGCGCGGCCGCGCCCCTGCGCTGTACCCCGCGGGCCTGTGGCCGAGGGCGGGGAGTTGCGCCCCTCCCGGCAGCCTGGCCCCGCTGGAAGGGCTCGGGGTAACGGCGGGCGAGGCGCTGAGCTGGGCTCCCCGGGCCGCGCTGCGGGGGGAGTGTGAGCGGACCAGGGGCGTGGCGATGAGTTCGCAGAGAGGAGCTGCAGGACCGACCTGAGCCTGGTCTGGCAAACCTTCCTTCCCGCGCCGCCTGCAGGAGCAGGATCTCTGTAGCTCGCCCCGAGAACATTGGGGCACCACACGCACCACGTGTGGGGAGATTTTTGGCAGCAGAGAGCTCTGGGTCATAGCAGGCAAAGGCAGAGTTAGTGCAGGGGTCAGCAACCTTTCAGAAGTGGCCTGCGGAGTCTTCATTTATTCACTCTAATTTAAGGTTTCGCGTGCCAGTAATACATGTTAATGTTTTTAGAAGGTCTCTTTCTATAAGTTTATAATATATAACTAAACTAGTGTTGTATGTAAAGCAAATAAGGTTTCTAAAATGTTTAAGAAGCTTCATTTAAAATTTAAATTAAAATGCAGAGCCCCCTGGACCGGTGGCCAGGACCCAGGCAGTGTGATTGCCACTGAAAATCAGCTTGCCTGCTGCCTTTGGCGTGCATCCCATAGGTTGCCTACCCCTGCTCTAGTGTCTGAAAGCTAGATAAACTTGGACTGGAATTGAGGGGCACATTTTTACAGTAAACACAATTAGCCATAGGGCCAACTTTCCAAAGATGAATTCCATACCACAGTCTTTCAGTCAAGGCTGGATCTCTCTTTCTAAAAAGATCTGCTCTAGTTTACCCACAGATTGTTAGTTTCAACACAAAAATCACTGGGTGAAATTGTCTGGCTGGTGTTGTGCAGGAAGCCAGTCTGACCATCACAATGATTGGTTGTGGTCTTTTAGTATAAAGTGCCTGTCCTTGTCCCAGGGACACAAAGGAGGTGGGATGGGAGACAGCCTCTCTGTGCGACTTTATTCTGTTCAGTCTGTTTGAGCTCTTTAACGTAAGAGACTTATTTGAGCCCTGTGGGTGCCGAAGACCTGACTGGTGGTTGTACTCTTGAGGGTGCTAGTCTGTTTCCTGGGACGCTGTTCCCCATCACCTTGCAGGGACTGCAGCCTGACTGGAGCCTTTCTCCATTTGTAGGGACCTTTCCTGTGGACCTCACCAAAACGCGCCTCCAAGTACAAGGTCAAAGCATTGATGCTCGCTTCCGAGAGATCAAGTACCGGGGCATGTTCCATGCCTTGTTCCGAATCTACAAGGAGGAGGGGATTCTGGCTCTCTATTCTGGGTAAGGTCTGATGCCTCCTTTTCCCAGCAAAAGGCTCTCTGCTTGATATCCTATGTGTGCAGAGTCTCCTACCCCATGCGCATTGTCCTGCTGCACCCTTCGGGGAGAGGGCTACAGTCTGACCTGTGGCCATGTGCTTTCCCTTTTCTCACACTGAGCCACCGCCACATCTTTTCGACTGAATGTTCGACTGATGTTTGTTAAAAAGCCTGGGAACACGGCCTGTCGCTGCAAGTCTAGGTGGAACTCTTTCTAGTCCTTGGACTCTCCAGTGGCTGGTATGTTTGGTCAGTGTCCCAAGATGATGTATGGGTCTGAAATATCCAAATAAAGACCCAGGAAGTCTCAGAGGAGAGGGGGAGGGAGGCAGGCCATCCTCTTCGCTCCTTCTCCAAAAGACTGCTTGGCTGCTATAGTCTAAACATATTTGGGTCTGGCTCCTTTGGAGATGTGTATGTGTTGCCAGTCCATCCCTATGCCATGCCAAGATATTGTGCAAAGTTGTACTTCTCAGACAGCACTTTGCTCTCTCATTGGTGTTAGGCATGTGGGTGTGATAGCTGATCACTTCTTGGGAGCTGCTCTGCGTATAACAGTGACATAAAGGTGGAGAAGTAGGGGGTAACTCTGTCTCCTTGTTGAGTGTCTTGTACAAGCCCCTTCAAAACAGTTATGTGTCAGGCACTAGAATGTGGACAAGCTAGGTCCAGGCTTCTCCTTTTCTTCATGTTCGGACGGGTTGAGTTTGGCACCCAATAAGCTTTGAACTAGTAATTCTGCCATGAGCCACTCGCAGTGCAGGCAGGGTCTGTATGAGCTCACCCTGCTGAAGGGCTTATCCCTTACCATACAGTATCCTCTGCTGTTCCAGTCTTGGCCTGTTCTCAGAATCCATGGAGGTATTGTGATGCTGAGCTCCCTTGCTGAACTGTGCCTGTCAGGTGCACGGGAGCCCACTACAGGTGTGTGTGTTACATGAGCTTGTATCTGAGGGGCGTGAGCTGTGCTGGAGCCTTCAGGGGCACAGTGGTGCTGGTGGGCCTTGCAGTGCGTAACCAGATCTTGTGTTTGTTTGTCCTTGCAGGATTGCTCCTGCATTGCTGAGACAGGCATCTTATGGCACCATAAAGATTGGCATTTACCAGAGCCTGAAGCGGCTGTTTGTAGATCGCTTAGAAGGTCAGTGTCAGTGAAGCGTCATGTTGAGATGTCTCTGGAACTGTCACAAATGGCACAATATGAAATCTTGAGGCCAGCCCCTCACCCATTCCATTTCTCAGTTCTTTCCCTTCTCTACCCGGCCCAGCTGCTGAATCCTAAAGAAGCTGAGTTGTGTTCCATTTCCTGCTGTCCCAACACTGGGGATAGCTGATAGAGGTCCCAATGGTGCTGGTTGCCGCTCGGACTCACTTGAGAGGCAGGTCCTGCCTCCAAGTGCTTCCCATCTAAACAGAAAAAAGGGTGGGGAAAGGAAGGATTATCCCCATTTTGCCGTTGCAGCATTGAGGCCTGGATAGCACCTTGCCTTCCTCAAAGTATCTGATTCTTATTTATCATTCCAGTTTCCCAGCTGCCTTCAGGACAAAGCCCCCACTCCCACAGTCCCGACCCCAGGGACTGCCCTGTGCAGCAGCAGTTTAAGGCTTGGTTAACTAACCTTTCCCATCTCCATTCCAGAGGCTTTGAGCCCCAGTGCCATTGCTTTTGCTCAGAGCTTATCGTCCCCTTAGTTCCGTGCCTTCTCCCTTCCTCCAGAGCTGGGCATGTGTGAACAGTCCTGAGATGTGCTTTCCTGGCTGCTTTGGGGCAGGCCACAGGATCTCCATTCTCCCCACCTGCATACTGAAGCAATAAAAATCCAGTGCAGTTTCTCTCAAGGAGCTCTGGGCATTTGACAAACCCTGATGGATTTGATTCGCAGTTGCCACCTCAAGAGGTGGGCCCCTGAGTTACTGATGAGGAAGGACTTGCCACAGCCATGCAGCAAGCCTGGGATAGAATGCAGTCCCAGGTGCTGCCCTAACTCACAAGTGATGGTCCTTCCTTGCATCTGACTCCATGGAATGTGAATTGGGTCACAAGTTGTCTGTTTCCATTTGCTGCTGCAGCACTTCCAGCTTGGTACTGTGTTCTAAATGTTTGTTTCCCTGCAGGGCTGGGGCTGCCAGTGGCCTGGTCTCCTCTGGAGAGTGCTGCGGTCAGTACCATTGCCCTTTCCCAGCATAACCACTGCTCTAACTCTGGGCCTGGAGGCTTTTCCTTCTGAACTAATTGCTCCTAACCCACTCTGTCTGGGCTGTCCAGTCTCTGTCCTCTATGTGTTTCGGATTCAGCTGCTAAGGATTCCAGCTCAAAGCTCTGCAGCACTGGATGACCCAAAAAATCATTTGCAAACCCAGTGCCCATGAAATCAGCTCACAGTGCCATCGGGGAGGTTGAAATTAATTATTAGAGATAATTATGTCTAGAAATGAAGTGCTTGGCAATCTGCTTCTCTCTCTCTCTGCCAGGCTCTGAGTTCAGAGACTGCCTTCTCCTCTGCAGAATACTGCTGAAGCCCCAACATCCCTGCCACTGCCTTTGGGCCCTGGCAGCTAGGGGACAGGTTTGCCAACAGCTTACAGTAATTGGTTAGTCTCTGCACCCCACAGCTTCGCTCTCTGCATTGGCAGCTGGACTTTTCCATCCTTTTCTTCCCAAAGCTTTTCAGTTTCTCTGGTAGGTCCCTGAATCACCATCTCTGGGCTCTGACCTTCTTTCCCCCTGCCTAATTGCAGATGAGACACTGCTAATCAACATGATCTGTGGGGTGGTTTCAGGGGTGATCTCATCCACGCTGGCCAACCCGACAGATGTGCTGAAGGTAAGAGGTGCCTGTTTTGAGGGACCGTCCCTGATGGGCCAGGTCCTGATATGATTAAGCTGATTCTTTCCTTTCTTCCAGCTGGAGCGGATTGCCCTCCAAGCCACTTGCCAGGCTTTGGCTTGGGTGTAGAAAGAAAGCACTACCTTGGTTGGGGGAGTGAAGGAGAGAGGTAATATGAGGGAGCCACAGCCCGGTGCAGGAAGGAGGTGGAAAATGCAGCTGCTGAGCTCTGTGGTGAAAGATGCTCTGGAGCCCCAGCACTGGGTGAACTGTGCAAAGGACTAAGAGTGCTGGCCAGTAGTCAGGCATGCCACAAGCCTTCTCCCCATGGCCACTACCCACAGCTTTGGTGATGGACCTCCATTCTGATCTGTAGCCCCCTGTTACTCCAGTCCTGCAGAGTGACAGCAGAGCCCAGCCTGGCCTATTCTTTGTCCTGGTGCTAGGTCTAGGGGGCCTCATCTGGGGGAGTCTCTCTTGATTGAATTCACATGGGGTTCAGCCTCTGTTTAAAAAAAAAAAAATTGCCTCCCTTGCTTTGTTCTTTGTCTGACCTCTGAGCACTGAGATCCATTAGCTAGTCCTATAAGGTCCTGCCCTCTCCAGTCCACTGTCACTTTCATGGTGCTGCGACCTGCTAGCCATTTCTCCAAATGCACTTTCCTGGCGCCTGAATAACTCTTCTGCTGGGCAGTTGGATGTTACTCCGCTATACTTGGCTATTTCTCCCGTCCTAGGTGGGAGCTGAATCTGTATGTTAACATAACTCTGCTTGGCAGCCACTGCTGCCTGATGGAATCTGTCCCCTCATTTCAGATTCGAATGCAGGCTCAAGGCAGCTTATTCCAGGGGGGCATGATTGGCAGCTTCATTGATATCTACCAGCAGGAAGGCACGCGGGGGCTCTGGAGGGTAAGTACCCACTGCTGAGAGTCCTTTCTACTCAGGCAGCAGAATAGTAAACTGCTTCCTTAACTGCCATTTTCTGACTAAAGCCAGGTGATGAGTTCACCTTCTGATCCCGGTGTGCTGCTATCCCTTGGCGTAAGTGAAGCATCTGGAGAGTGACCGGGCCAAGGACAGGAGCAGGCTTGCTGTTTTGTCTGCTGTCCATGGAGAAACTGTGGCTAAGGTCACTCTGTGTATGTGTTGGATTGGAACACAAGCAGGATGTGAATGGGACAGGTCCCCTCATGCTCAGAGTCCAGTCTTCCAAAACCTGCCCCTTTCCCGGAATGTTCAGCTGCAGAATAGTTAACAGGCAGAGCAGGGTCCAGCAGTTGGCTTCTGCCTGCAGGACTCCTTGTTCCTCCCCCTAGCTCACCTCTTGAAGAGTGACTCAGCCTAGGTATCTCTCAGTGGGTTTTGAACACCCTTGTGAGGTTAGTGAGGAAGAGTCTGCAGAGCTCAGCAGAATAGCTTGTGGCATCCTCACAGAAGCCTGAGGCTGAGTACGCTGTCAGGGGAGGAGTTCTCAATGTCAGCGAGTGTTTCCCTTGAATGTCCTCACCAGAACACTTCAGTTTAAAGACACAAGTTGTTTAAAGGCGAGAAAATCCACAGTTAATGTTCTGCACCAGCCTCAGCTCTGCCTTGTGTCCAGCCTGAGACCCCCCTATCCCTTGTTGCCTGGAATCTGCCCTGTGTGTGTATGAATGACAGCAGGATGGCAGCTTCCTAGTGACTGGTGGAAGGGTGGATTGGGAAGATAGGATCTTGAGCTTAAAGGTGCTAATATGCTTTAGAGCCCACTTGTTACTGTTAGTGCATTGAGGAGTTAGCCGCACTGCTTGGGGTTTGTGGTAAGACGCTTTGGCCTGCTTTTACTATAGTGACCTCGCCATAGAAATCCTTCCATGAGCTTGAACCAGCAAACCCAAACTGGAGAGAGCTCCAGTACTGGGATTCCCAAGTCAGATGGCTTTCCCAAATGGAGCATTCCCCTTTATCTCTGCCTTGTATTCAGTACAATCCTTCAGAGGGAAGATACTTGTCCCTAAATCTCTCGCTTACTCCAGAGCCTCCTGGGCTGGAAGGGAGGGGCAGGGTAAGGAGTATCTCCGCTGCTGGTTTTGGCTCAGCGGTTACTGTTAAGATTATTCCTGCTCTCTAGACAAACGCACACGAGAGGGGAAGAGAGGATAGAAAAGAAAGGAAAACATCTGTCTCACGGACACGTGCTGCAGGCAGGATACAGTACACAGTCAGGTCAGTCACAAGTGGGTGCGTGCTAGCTCTGGCCCCAGCTCACTCTCTTGGTCTAAAAGCTGGCATGCCCTGGCCCCCTCCTGCCACCTCTCCTTCATGCTGAGGTGAGCCTGCTTGTGAAGCCTCAGCCTGTCATACTGATTGTAGCAATGGTAGTGTGGAGGTGAATTAATGCTGGAGCTGACCAAGTTTGGAAATAGTTACACAGAAGCCGAAGAAGATAGGGAAGAGGATAGACATGAAACAGCTCTTGAGGGACGGGCAATGGGATTCTTAAATCAACCTCCCTCAGGTCACTGCGGATTGGTGTGGTCTGAAGGCCATATCTTCTCATTGGCCTGTTTGCCAGCTGGATGTACTGAAGAATTCCCCCAGCATCTGCAGGCCAAAGGGTTTTCCTTCGGGTGAGAGAGTGGCATCCAGGACATTAATGTCCTTACACTTCTCTACAGTGCCCAGAAGGGGCAGCCATCACTGTCCTATCTCCTTCTCCAGTCCATTGCCCATGGTTTTTCTCTGACCCAGGAATTTCTCGTCTGTTGTTGTGGAAATGGGTCACCTGTTTGGCCTCCTTGAGCGTTGCTTCGCAGTCAGTTCAGGTGGCTCTTTCTAACTTACTCTTGTTTCCTTCAGCTGTTTTGTAATCTGTTCTCAGGCCGGAGCAACCTTCTGCCAGGTTGGACTCCCAGATCATAAGCTGTGGTGCAAAAGAGACTGGGGTCCTAGCAGCTCCTTGCCATGCTGACAGGGAGGATGTGGCCCCTGCATAACTGCATCTTGTTTCTGGTTAATCTATGCTGGCTTCTAGTTTTGTTAGGTGCTGCACAGTGGGAGAAGTTGAGTGATTTAAGGGCTTCAGCTGGGGTCTCTGGGGGCAGGTGAGGAGCCTGATCCAGCCAGGCTACAGGCCAGGGGACAGAGTGGCAGGACACACAGTTCATGTTGTTAGTGAAGTGATGTCAGGGTGGAGGGAGCATAACTCTCTAAAACCAGGATGGGGAGTCATGCCCAAAGGGAGGAGGGCTCTGGAAGTAAAACCAAGAGACAGTGGGCTTCCCTTATCCAAGGGCAAGTGCAGCTGGTGAACTGGGGGAGGCAGCCAGAAGGCATGGTCATGGGCTGCAGGGCTGACTGCCGTGGGAGGGCTTTTCAGAGTGTCTAGGAGGAATGGGGCCCTGCCTCCAGTGGTAAATTGAGTGCTTGTGTTTGGTAGGGTGTAGTCCCCACGGCGCAGAGAGCTGCCATTGTGGTTGGAGTGGAGCTGCCAGTTTACGACATCACCAAGAAGCACCTGATCCTCTCAGGGTTCATGGGGGATACAATCTTTGCCCACTTCGTGTGAGTATCTGCAATCCCCTCTGCTTTCTTTGGATCCAGTGGGGGTAGGCGTTGCCAGTCAGACCTGCTGGAGAAGGGCAGGATGTAATTATGCAGTGCAGCCTGTGGGGTTAACCCTTGACCAGTTCCTGATTATGCTGAATGCAATGTCAGCAGCTTGGCTAGATCCTATTGAGGGGGCAAGGACTGCAGCTCTGCAGTGGCATCCACTTCTTGGGGGTCTACAGAGAGCAGTTCCACAGCAGTTCAGCTGCCTGGTATGTGGGCAGTAGGATGGCATGTGGTGTAGGTCTCCCAGCTAGAATCCAGTGGGACTTACAGGAGGAGAGGTGAAGGAGGTTGGGAACAGGAATTCTGTAGAGCATGTGACATGAGCTGCTGCATTCCTAGCTACTTTATTCCCCATTCCTCCCCTGCCCTGGCTTCTGATTCTAGGCTGTTGCTGCAGAGTGGTTCAGTGAGATGATTCTTTTGTCAGGGTTTCTTAGCTGGGGGTGCTGTGGGGCAACCGCTGAGTTTGCACCACATGGCTGGAGGGAGGAATTCAGCAGGATACAGTGAGAGCAAGGACAAGGGAGGGGAATAGTAAGACGGTTGCCTTTGCCTTGCTCTACTCCCGCTGCCATTCTCAGTGTTGGTCTTCTGCTCTTGCAGCACTCACTCTGAGGAAGCATCCCCAATACCAGCCCTGCACCCAGTCCTTGAATTCAGCCCCTGCAGGCTTCCAAAAACCACCTGCCATGACTGCAGTGCCACAGCCCTTGGCGGATCTCAACGCGTAATGGCAAGAAACTGCAGCTTGTCCCTGAGTCCAGGTTTAGGAGAGGCTTGAAATCTCCCCAAGCCCCATGGGGGATTACAACCTCTGGGGCTTGGATTTAGGAGATGGTTGCAGTGATGAATGTGCTCCTCCTACCGGAGTGATGGCATGTGCATCTTGTCTGCACCATGGGTTTCTGAATGGCAACAGACAGCATGAGAACAGATGGAGCAAAAAAAGTTAGCTGCACTATGTTCTTGTGGAGAGCGCTCTCCCTGTGCCCTCGGGTGTGTGTGAGGCATGTCACCAGCCTGGGCCCGGAGCAGCCTCTAATGCTTTGATGCATTTAGTTCCAGTTTTACATGTGGGCTGGCTGGAGCCATCGCCTCCAACCCAGTGGACGTGGTGCGAACACGGATGATGAACCAGAGGGCAATAGTGGGAACTGTGGAGCTCTACAAAGGCACACTGGATGGTCTAGTAAAGGTAAGAAGCCAGATAGTGTTGGGCAAGTGGGGTTACAGCCATCAGGGCCCAGTTGAGCCTGAGCCGGTTCTGATGTCACACGTGACTCTGATCCTCGCAGCAAAAGGCACCAGCCATGGAGCATTCTTCTCCAGGAGTGTCTTGCAGTGCACTAAACATGGACTTGAGGAGCTGCCCCCTGGGCCTGCTCCTGTGAGATGGGACTTTGGGAGTTGGGGGAGAGACAGTCAGAGCAGGGACAGCCCAAGATCTTATTCATAGATTCCAAGGCCAGAAGGGACCATTGCATCCTCTAGTCTGACCCCCTGTATAACATAGGCCAGAGAACTGCCCCAAACTAATTCCAAGAGCAGAGCTTTGAGAAGAACATCTTGCCTTGCACCAGCCAGTTAGACTGGAGTTGTTCTGTGCTGAAGGGTGCTACATTGTATGTAGGGAGGGGAGACCAAGTCTATCTCTTCAGGAATAGGCAAGAGCAACTAGGACGCTACTGGAGTCATTTTAGCGGAAACCACCCTGTTTCATAGTGCACTTGGGGAGCATCTCGTGGTCACTCTGTCTCTCTCTTCTCCAGACATGGAAGAGTGAGGGCTTCTTTGCACTCTATAAAGGGTTCTGGCCCAACTGGCTTCGGCTTGGCCCTTGGAATATCATTGTATCCTTGAAAGAGTGACTGGATGACAGTGTGGATGCGGCTAGCAGGAGAAAGTCCAGGACAGAAAGAACTACACGAAGCAGACAGGGTTCTTGCTCTAGTCAGGCACCATTAGCCCCATTAACCAAATCAAGTCATGGCTCTGTCTTCCCTGCAATGGCGCACTCAGATGTACTCGCTGCCCTTCATGGACAGTGATTGTGCAGGATACAACACAGCTGCAGCCTACTGCATGGCCAAGAAACCAGCAGGGGGTGCATTGTAGCTTCTAATGTAGTCTGCTGAGTGGCTAGTCCTATGTCCCACTTGTGTCGCCAGAGCAGGGAGTTCTGCTGTGGCTTCATAATTGTAAGGAAACCTTCATTACAGTGAGCTGCTTGGTTTGAGGGTCCCCATATCTGCTCTGAGCCCTTTGGGGCTGGCAGTCTCTGGGCAGGCCCCTGTTTTTGGGATGAAGTCTGGGGAAAGCCTTGGGATGCATAGGACAGGTGATCGGAACAGGCACTGTTTGCAGTTATCCTGTACCTCAAGCCTTGTATTGGACCCTTTTTTACTTTTCTGAAAAATGTGTCCTCCCAGTGTGGAAAGCACATATACTGGAGAGGCAGAGGTGGCCAGCTGAGCCCTGAGTGAGCCCTCTATCCTGTCCCAGCTGTTTGAGAGGGTTAGAGACTTCCCTCTGCTGGGCTTCCATAGGGTTTGACCACTCCCCCTCCCCATGTGCAGGCTGCTTCTAGCTGTAGTGCCCCCTAAAGGAAGGCTTCTGGCGATATTTTCCTCTTGGAAGTGGTAGTGTGGCCTTGCCATGTGTGGGCGTTTAGCTGTATTGTGGTAACCCCTCACACTACTGTAGGAGAAATTCCGCCAGACTTTCTTGCAGATTTTCTGCCCTTCTGTGGGCATGTGGCAAGGAATGGGGCCAACAGGACTAACCTGTTCCAGCAAGTGTACTGTAGAGCAGTGCTTCTCAAGCAATCTGATGTGGGGGACCAGGAACTTTTTTTCCCAATGTGCGCGCAGACGGGCAGCCGATGGCTCGCGAGCGGGCCCCGGTCTGCGGACCACCACTTTGAGTAGCACTGCTCTAGAGTACAAACTCCTACCTGCTGGGGGTAGCCCTACTCCATTCAGACATAGCTGCCAAAATAAGAGTCAGCCACAGCAGTTTGTTTACCAACCATGACCAGTAAAGCTGAAAGTCTCAGTGCACTTTCCTCCTCAGTGGCTTCTCAGAATGCCCCAGCAAGCCCTGGCCCCAGGGAGTTGTCTGCAGCTGCCACCTGTAGGATCTCTCTGAGACAGCTGCAGGACGTGGTCCTGTGTGGAGTGCCAGGGAGCTCCTTGGAGTGACTGACACTGGAGCTCCATGATGATTTCCATGCTGGCTGTGAGGGTGGAGCTGCTCTGGCTTTCCTGCTGCATGTGGGCTTTGATCAGCAGCAACTGGAGCGCTCAGGAGCCTGTGTGGGGTGGGAGGGCTGCACGAGTACGTTGGCCCCATTCCTTGACATGCCCCCCAGTTTTTTATCACATATGAGCAGTTGAAGCGACTTCCATTCTAGGGCTGCCTCCAATCCACGGGCACAGCCTCCAAGACATGCAGTTGGGAATGAGCAGCCTGAAGTTGCTGCCCCCTTTTTCACTCATTTCACCTCCCTGTGTCTTGATGTCTTGGCATGCGTGGATTGGGACCCGCAGTCCACTGAACGTCTGGTCCTTGGAGCACGTCCTGCCTGCAGCGGAGCGGAGGCCGGAGGAAGAGGTTGTGTGTTCTAGGGGAAGTATTAACTGTACCCAGGGGCAGCGAGTTATATCTCCACGTAGTGCCTTGGCACCAGCAATATTCAGAGCCCAGGGGCCCAGCTCCATCAATATTTGGGGCTGGGTGCCCCCTTGCCCGGCGCACTTGCCGCCCTCACGCACCTCCCCGCAAGTGTCCCCCGGCCCCCGCTTGCTGCCCCCATGCACCTCCCTGGGTGCCTCTTCTGAGCAGCGCTGTGTCCCTGCAGCAGCTGCTGCCACAGGGTCCTAGTGCCCCCCATCTTGATTGCCAGGGCAGACTGACTCAGCTTGCCCTTCCACCTCAGACCCTTCCCTTTTCCGGCGGGACCCTCCACCAGCACAGGGGGCCACCCTGCTCACAGTCACTGCTCCTGCCCCATGCTGGGCAAGGAGGCAGCCCCATCCCTCACCCCCAGTGAGGCTACAGTGAAGGGCAGCAGGAGGGGAGGAGGCACATGCAGCAGCCCCCAGCACCCACCATAGGGGAGGCAAGGGAGATTTCTGGACCTGAGAGGAGCCCTAGGAGCATGTGCAGTGACAGTGGTGGGGGTGAGTGTGCTGCTCGAGGGGTGGGAAAGGGGGGCTCCTCCCCCAGAGCTCGCTGCTGCTGGCAGGGAAAGGGCTGGGGGGAGTCCTCCTCTCTGGCCCCTGTCCCGGAGCAGCCTGCCTGCACCCCAGACTCATCCCTAGCCCTGCCCCACCCCAGAGCCCAAACCCCCAGCCAGAGCTTTCAACCCCCCACACACCCTCAACCCTCTACCCTAGCCCCGAGCCCCTCCAACACCCCAAACACCTTATCCCCAGTCCCAGTCAGAGCCCTCATCCCCCTGCACGCCAACCCTCTGCCCCAGCCCTGAGCCTCTCTAACACCCCAAACCCCCAGCCCCAGACAGAGCCCTCACCCCCCACACTCCTACTCTCACCCTGAGCCCCTCCCACGGCCCTCACCCCTGCACCCCCTACCTCTGCACTCCCTCCCAGAGCCTGCATCCCAGTCCCCTGCCCCAGCCTAGGGCCTGCACCCCAGACCTCCTCCCACCCAAACTCCCTCCCAGAGCCTTGGGCAGGTGGGGGTGGAGTTTGGGCAGGGGCGGGTTCTGGCCACCACCAGAAATTATACAAACCTGCTGCCCCTGACTGTACCAGTGTCTGGGCATGAAGCGGTGTCTTCTGTGAAGACCAGTGTGGTGCGGTGGCCTTGCAGTACAGGTGTGGTATGTGTTGGTTGGGCTTGTGCGCATTGCTGCACCCTGCCTGATGGGCGGGACAGAAGATGGAGCTGGAGTGGAGGTGGCCATGTTTTCCTGCAGACCTGTAACCTCATTAAACTATTTATTGACAGGGTTGTCTGGGTTTGTCTGTTGCTTTTGTGTGGGTGTGATTCCCACAGCAGATGGCCTGTGTCTGCCCCTGGAGAGGAAAAGGAGCAACCATTTAGTGCAGCTGCAATGTCCGATTTTCTTAGAATATACGTTGCACTTTTTATAGCACCTTCTGGTGAAGGGCCCTAGCCCCCCTTTAACTTGGGAAACAGGCCCAGAATGCCTGGAGTTTTGCCCAGACACATACAGTATGACTCTAGGAATGTCAGGCATGGAACCTGAGACTCCTGACTCCCTGTCTGCTGCTTTACCTACTAGATAAGTGGTCCCTAAATTGTGAGGTGTGCCTCCCTAAGGGAGCATGGAGGAACATTGGGGGGGGGCTGTGGTGGGGCCTGGGCCATCCCACCCTGGGCATGGGGAGGGAGTGCCGTTCTGCCCCCCAGACTAGCTCTTATCCCAGCTGCAGCTCCACTTTGCCCCCAGCCCAGGTCTGCCCTCGTTCTCTGTCTACCCCCATACCAGCTCCCCCTCTAGCCCCAGCTCCTCTCCATCCCCAGTTCTGCTATCATCCTGAGTTTCTCTGCTGAGTCAACTGTGCAGTAATGGGGAGGAGGGTGTGTGTGTGGGGGGGAGATAACTGGAAAAGTTTGGGCACCACTGTGCTATATTGTGCTGCCTTTAACACCGAGTCATTCTGAAATACTGGCAAGAAAGCACTTGAGACAAAGCAGAGCAGAATAATGTGGAAGATCTCCATGCTCAAAACATCCGGGCTGGGGCAGATCGGGAATATCGAAAGGACCTGGGATTTTCACTCTCTGTGGTTCAGTAAACCTGGATAAATCTAGGAGAGCTGTACATATTCTTGTAGCAAATTTGATCATTGCTTCCTAGTTCTGGTAGCTGCAAAGTGTGGTTCATCACTGAAAATGGTTCTCCCTCCTTAAGCAGATATTGTGTGTGTATCGGTGGATCTGCTCGTGGTGTCAAAAGTAAGATGTTCTAATTCCTTGAAGGCCCTCAGAGCCTGGTTCAGTAAGTTGTGGTCAGTTGCACCTTAGCATACCCCTCAAGGACAACAGGTCTGCACAGGCATCAGTGAGGGTAGGAGTTGGCTGTCAAATCTTTATGCTGTGGGGGAGGAAAGCCAAGCCTGCAGCATTTCCCCATGAAAGCTGTGTCTTTTATTTGCATACTGTGGCCACTTGCACGGGATTCACTGTCTGTCTATACAGCAATTAAACGCCTCGTTCAGCTGACTCAGGCTTGTGGGGCTAGGGCTGTGGGGCAGTAAAATTGCTGTGTAGACATTTGGGCTTGGGTTGGAGACAGACCTCTAGGACCTCTTGCTGGCTCCCAGAGCTCAGTTTCTAGCCTGAGCCCCAAAATCTACACAGCAATTTTTAGCTCTGCCCCATGAGCCTGTGTCAGTTGACGCAGGCCAGCTGCAGCAATGCTGTTGTCTCTGATTCCAGTGTAGACCTATCCTAAGACCCCCAAGCTTGTGACTTCTACTGGCTCATTCAGATTTAAACTGAATTGTAAAGGTGATGCTCAAAGGGGAAAAAGTTGGGCCTACATCACTTTTTTGCTTCTCTTTCATAGCTGCATAGAGTTAAAGACCACATCGGCCCATAAACCGTTGTGCCCTGCTAACTGTAAAATGTACCCAGTCCTGCAAAGATCTGGTAGATGCTGCACCCTGAAGGTACGCATACAACAATTCCCCTTGTCACACACATCAGAGAGTGAAAAGCACATCTCATAATCACAGCTCTGCCACAACCTCAAAGTAATCCACACGCGTCCTCAAATCCCAAACATACCTTTATGAAGCATCCCCAACCACCGTATAGTATAGGTCCACCTAACGCTCTGATTGCATAGGCAGTGTATCCAAATAATTTCCACTGGCTACTACCATCTCCTGGGGAATAGAGGGAAGGTGGTGTGGACACCCTTGCCTTTTTTTTTTCTTCTTTTTTTTTTGGTCTTTTAATAGTGTTAGATGGAATCCTGTGCATGAGAGTGACAGGGTTGGGAAAGGAGGCGAAGAGCTTGTACATTTCAGTCACTGTGGGGTTGGCAGAATAAAAGTGTGTGTATTAACTCTCTTTCAGCAGTGCTGCAACATGTCTATTAAGGTTGCATGGGCAACCTAAACTGCATTTCTGGTTTCAGAAGTTTGTTTTTTGCTTTACTCAACATTGTGCAAGGGGACAACTACCACCGAGCTGCCATAACTCTGAGTTAATGGAGCAATTTGCCATTGAATTGCCTAGGTTCTTTTTTTAATCAGGAAAATATATGTTGGTGATAGGAGTTAGTCATTTAGGCATTTGTACATCACATATCCAGCTATTTGCATACCCAGACAGCCAACTCCCCCATATTAGCTGGGACCGCAGCAGCCCACACCTCCCTACCTCCCAGTTCACCAACATTTCTGTTGCCATTGCTGCCACCCACACCCCAACTCATCTGTGAAGGACAGCTGCATTACAGCAAGACATGGTGTTGCTGCTCGAGTTTCACAAGGGTTTGAGGGTGGAGTTTATGGCAGCGCCAGTGAGATAAATCACCTGAGATATGGAACACGCAGGCCTCTGGCTCCTTCTCACTCCCTCTGCCAAATATTAGACCAGCTGCTGCTGATTCTGCTGTGTCCACAGGAAATCTCCCCATGAAATTAAGACATTAAACACAACTCCTAGCGTGAGGTATTGTATCTTTACTGCACAAATGGACAAAGGCTCCGACTAGAAGCAGCAGCTTCTAGTGTTTCCTGGGGCATTGGTGTCAGCACGTTCCCTGTCACTAAACAGGCTGCATAGAAACCCTGTTATGTTTTTTTTCTCTAATGGTGCATATGCGCTGTAATCCTTCCAGACTACAAGTTAAATGTCCTTCAGGGTTTGGGTCCCTCAAAGCCTTAGGAGGTGCCAGGCACCACCTGTGGTGAAAATTGAGCCCCTTTTGACTTCCATTACAGCAATAGGTTAATCTCTCATTCCACACACAGAAATCAAAACATACACCTAGCAACATTTTGAAAAATGGCTGTGTTTTCAGGACTTATATCTTAGGAACCTGTGGCTCAAATGACCCCAAATTTGAGTCACTAACTGTACTCTGCACTCTTTGTAAGGCACAGCAGGATTCAAGAAAATCTGTGGAAGCAGGAGGCGTTTCAAGCATCCTTTAAATCACGGGTGGGCAAACTTTTTGTCCAGAGGGCCACATTGGGGTGCAAAATGGGGTATGGAGGGCCAGGTAGGGAAGGCTGTGCCCCCCAAACAGCCTGGCCCCTGCCCCCTATCTGCCCTCTCCCACTTCCTGCCCCCTGACTGCCCCCCTCAGAGCCCCTGAAACCATCCAACCCCCCCTGCTCCTTGTCCCCTGACTGCCCCCTGCCAGGACACCCCGCCCCAAACCTCTCCCCTTGGGACCCTCCCTGTTCCCTGTCCCCTGACTGACCCCTGGCCCCTATCAACCTCCCCAACAGGGCCCCCAGGACTCCCACGCCCTATCCAACCCCCCCTGCTCCCCGACCCCTGACCGCCCCAGAATCTCCGCCCCATCCAACCCCCCTGTCCCATGACTGCGCCCCGGGACCACCTGCCCGTAACCTCCCCCTGCTCCCTGTCCCCTGAGTGCCCCCTGGGACCCCGTACCCAACTCCCCCACTGCTGCATGTGTGCTGCCACCCCCTTACCATGCGGCTCAAAGCGGCAGGAGCGCACAGCCCCGTTGCCTGCATGGCGGCGTGGCTGTGGGGGAGGGGGAACAGAGGGGGCGGGGCGGGGGACAAGTCTCTCTGTCCAGGAGCTCAGGGGCCAGGCAGGAGGGTCCCGCAGTCCGAATGTGGCCCTCGGGCCGTAGCTTGCCCATCTCTGCTTTAAACTGAGACAGAGGGACAATGGAGGGAAACGCTTCCATCTGCAGCATCGGAGGCTGAGGGGTGGGAAGTGGCCCACCCATTTCAATGTGAGGGTCTCAGCTGAATGAGAACACCCCAGGGAGATGAAATAATAGCTCTGAGATGTGTGAGCTGCTCCATTGATCTCAGTGTGTTCCCTTCTGGCTCCAGAGTGCTTTACAGCCTACTGATATGCATGAAGTGTGTCTGTTCTCAGCTCCCCACCCAAAGGGGCAGGACTTGCCCAGATCCTGGCTCACATGGGGGCAGGGAGGGGGCCTCACAAAAGAGTCAGTCCTCCCGCCCCGAATCTGTCTTACAAGAGAGAGGGGCATCCAACCCCTGTAGATTGGAATGGACCCCCAGATCCTCGGCAAACATGGGGTGGCAAAAGGTGCTCTGACACCCCAGAGGATCAAGATCTGTATATCCCAGCTCACATAAGGGAGAGAGGCCTCTACAGGGGCAAGACATCCCTCCCCACCCAGCTCTGGGCACACACCTGGGAAGGGGGAATTTGAGGCTGAGAGGTGCTTCTGTCCCATTCTCTCCCAGTCCCCCTGCTACTCACCCCACCTTCACCCCCAGTATTCCACCCTTGCATTCCCCCTAATTGCCATGCTTCCCATGCACAAAGCCTTGGAAACAAGCAGGGAGAACTGGAGGTCCTGGTGATGTCAAGGAATTATGACGTGATTGGAATAACAGAGACTTGGTGGGATAACTCACATGACTGGAGTACTGTCATGGATGGTTATAAACTGTTCAGGAAGGACAGGCAGGGCAGAAAAGGTGGGGGAGTTGCACTGTATGTAAGGGAGCAGTATGACTGCTCAGAGCTCCGGTACAAAACTGCAGAAAAACCTGAGTGTCTCTGGATTAAGTTTAGAAGTGTGAGCAACAAGAGTGATGTAGTGGTGGGAGTCTGCTATAGACCACCGGCCCAGGGGGATGAGGTGGATGAGACTTTCTTCCGGCAACTCACAGAAGCTACTAGATCGCACGCCCTGGTTCTCATGGGTGACTTTAATTTTCCTGATATCTGCTGGGAGAGCAATACAGCGGTGCATAGACAATCCAGGAAGTTTTTGGAAAGCGTAG